GATCTGGATGGTTACTAAATAATATACTCTCTTCATAGTGTAACATTAAGACTTTTGTTTCCATTTTCATAATGAATGACCAAATTGACTTTTTATGTATGCAGTATACTTACAATAGAACACAGATAAAATGCATGCATATGCAAATAATCTTAGGTGAAATAAACTAAGTACAACCTAATTAAGCCCCCTAACTCCAGTTTACATCATAAAAACCATTTGGTAAACTAAACAATTTGACAGAATGATCTATGCTAGCACTTGTACATGTAGTAGTCCACCAATTAAAGTAACATGGTTTTGCAGTGTTGGTCCGTATTCAATTCATCAAAACTCACTCCAAGTGGGGCCAGTTCTAAAAACCTATATGCAGTGCCCTGTCACAAAGTAGTTACAAGAGCTTCCTGATCCAAGCATCTACTGTGTATATGTTAGCCAGGCTCCTTTCCATGTTTTCCAGACTAGTCTTTCCTGCCTTGCCCAAAAAATAAATGTCAACAGATCAAGCTACACAAATGTACAGTCAGATGAGTAACTCTTGCCTCCCTTGCCTTCCTATTTAGATGGCTCTGTATGAAATTCATTATTTATCTTAGTGTGGACAGGTTCTTATTTGAGTCCTAAGAAGAATTTTGGGTTGTAAAGTAAAAAAAATCATATAATACAGAGTAAAAAAAAACAGTTCAAGAGCTAAGGATAACATGGTAAAAAAGTGCCCCTTCAGCTGCTTTAGTTATAGTTACAAACCTGGTGCTGCAGAGTGCTAATACTCTAGCATTACTTCATGGAGCTGTAACAGATGGATAGCTTTAGACTACTACCTCTTGGGTATGATTGGATAAAACAGGAACATAAATGTGCCAGATGTTCCTTAAAGGAAGTTACTGAATCCACTTTAAGATTCAATTTAACTTGATTTTCTGAGTGTACCTGTGGAAGCCTACAACTAGCAAACTAACATTTGCAGGATCGTTTTAAATGGTATTAGTGGGCTCCAATACTGATGTAATCATTGTATAATGTCAGTTAAAACATGTTTAGATTACAAGCACTCAGACAAATTATAGAATTAACATTTGTTAAATAATCGCTTATCTAACTGCATAGACATCAGGCATCTTACCACTTCACGTTTTTCAACTTCGAACCATCGCGATATACCAGGCAAACTCTGCACCAACGTCAAAGCTGTTCTTTCAACCCAAAGACTCTGACAGACAAAATCATTTTGATAACATATGATATGGATAAAACTTTTTTTTACAAGGACAATATTGTTAATTTGCTGAAACTGTAATGCTATATTGAAAAATGAATTCCAACAACAGTTTAAATATTTTGCCTGTTCAGTTAGTAGAGGGAAGTTTGGTGGTCCCAGTGGTACTACTGCCTATTAACATGTCAATAATGTGATGGTTAGCAGTATGGAGTAATAATGGAGAGCATAACACTGATGCAATGAGCAGTATGTAACAATGTCAAGTGTCCAAAATGGGGTCAGATTGGAGTATGTCATGTACATCACAACGTTTTGAGATATCAGCCCATAACATTCCATACCCACCTTGGAAATAACATTAGTGGATCAGAGGGCCAGAACTTGTCATGCAGTAGGTGGAGCTGCACATTATGGCCAGCAACTAGGGCTGCAACCAACTAATCGAAAAGAATCGATAATGAGAACAGTTGTCAACTATTTTCATTATCGAATAGTTGGTTGGATCCCCTAACTCTCTCCTCAATGCTGGGAGGAGGGAACACCAAGCAGTGGTGGGTGCGATAGCCAGCCTGCTATTGCAATTCGAAATGGCCAAACGCAGACTGGCTATTGCTTCAGCACACTACCTGCTGTATTTAAGTTCAGCAGCCGTCTGCAGAATCTTGCCGCTGACAGCTGTCATTCCCTGGCTGAAGCTATTCAAGTGCCAAGTGCTTACAATACAATTCTAAAAAAAAAAAATAAAAAGGGGAAAAAAGTAATTTTTGGCCTGACGATTTCAGCTGCGGGAGGTGCGTTGCAGTGCCATTTATTTCAATGGCACCCCAAACGTGCTTCCCATCCACAGTGTGATCGCCTGCACTGGAACACACAATACAGCAATGTATTGAGTTCCGGTGCAGGGTGATTGCAAAAAACGGTGCATGCTGTTTCATTCTTAAGTAAACTTTATGTTTGTAACACTTCATTTGTGTGTTTTATTTTCAATTCAGGATGGTATTTGATTTTTTTTACTTGATTAATCGAAAAAAAATAAATCGCCCAACAAAATCGATGAAAATAATCCAGCAGCTTTTGTTTTTCCCAGACTTCGGTCATGAAGCTGCACCCACTTCCTGTAAATAACTTCTCTGCCCCTCTCAGTGCTGATCCTGTTCTCACTAAGCACATGTTTTTGAGACAGTGTGAAAGGGGATGACTTTTGGTCACTAAATGCCTCACTGGCTATTAGGGAAGCATGAGTGTGAGACGAAGAGGGCCTGATGGCAACCATGCCGGCTCTGGCATGATTATTGCATTTTAAATAACTCTGGGTTTTTTGGGGCACAAGGGCCCCCTGTAAGTAATTTGCAAATGCCTGCAAACACCTGGATATGCCTCTCTTACTACTTGGGGCAACTTAACTGAGAAAGTTGAACCCACAAGTCTACTGTAAAGTTAAAATCTGTTTTTAGGAAATTTTTATTGGTCAATACTGTAATTGAAAAAATACTCTTTATATGGTCACTAAAAAATTGTGTATAAATTAATAATTATTATATTTAAATAGGGCAATAGAAATAGTTTGAATGTTTTAAACATTCAATGTAAAACAACATACATACAGCATTTTATGTTTTTAACTGAAGAACCGGTGTTCTTCAGTAATTGATGGCTCTTTCTTTTCCTGTAAATCTCTCTAAATGAAAGGATGTGTATGTTTGAAAATAAAACCTACATTGTCCCACTTGGAGCTGTGTCTTAAACTAAATTGTGTGCACAGCTCTGTGCAGTGATCCTGTCAAATACGAACCTATCTTTAGCTCTGAAAAATCTCCAGAGGACAAGAGTCTTTTCAAGGGATTCACATCCCCATTTTCATCCGGATGATAAACATCTACATGTAATTGAAAGCTCTCGCGCTCTCTGTGCTGGGAATATTCAAATGCAAAGTAGTCATTTCTGCTAACACACTATTCGGTTGTGTTAAATAGCAGAAATAGGAAATGTGTAAAGAGGAAAATGTGACCTCCTGTGCACTCTGTGCACTGTTCAAGAAACACACTGTCTACATGGCACTGATTCCACTGACCACTTCTAATACAGCATAGGAAACTCTGAGCCATACCTTGAATTCATTCTCCTTGTCCTTGGTGCCTTTGTGAAAAGGTCTATCATACCGAAACCTCCAGATATGATTTACTTTGTAAAAGCTTTTGATGTTGTCAGGAATACCTTCTCTTTGAAGAACCTCCTGGCTTTCAGGGATTGGTGTGACTGCATATATCTGTAAATCTAGGCACTGGAATTAAGGTCAACACAAATGCAATCACTACAGAAAGATTCAATAGCACATCTGCTGGAGTAATGGCCAATGCTACGTTCAAAAGAATTATAAACAATGAACATGTAATAAGATTTCTATGCTTCTCATATGAAACTTATGATGGAATGCATTTTTAAGTCCTAAATAAATATGCATTGGCAACATATTTATAGAGTATTAAAAAATAGCATTTTGGTACACAGGTTTAAAGTAAATTTACAAGTCTGCACGCCTACATTTCTGACATGTCACAATATACAGTAACAGTTATTTTTTTCAAGTTTCACATTTTATCATTATAAAGCAGCCCTTGAGCACCAGCCAAGTGACTGTGTGAGATGCTCATTCTAGGAGAAACACGTCATCAGTTTGTTGCAGGCATGAGAAAGCATTTCTCCAGTGATCACTCAAACAGCCTCTACATTTTACTGTTTTGACAAGTTACTGGATGAGAGGCAGAAGCACATGGCTGATATGTGTGAGATGTGCATGCAGAAACAGTGATCAGTTTTAGAGATAATAAATACCTGCATGTGTTACACTTATACATTACTAAGCATGCATGCAAGTAGCACCAGAATACAGGAATTCCCTAGTATAGGGGAGCAAGAAACCAACAGTTGAAATACTGATGAGAATGGCAGTAGAAATGTTAAATATTACACAGTTCACAGAAGTTATATCAAAACTGGTAGAATAGGTGAGAAATAAAGCACTTGCAACTGGTGGCATGTATTGTTTATACATGTATTAAATGATTATTATAATATCAACAGTATATATAAAAACACAAACATTCCTGACAGCAGCAATTATAACAGGCATGCAATTTTCTTTATTTACATGTTTATTGTAAAAACATGACTCAAGCATGGCTCAGTTATTATCACCGATTTATACATATCATGAATTTGCAGAAATCACTAGCAACATCCAAGGTAGGAATCAAAGATCTCCAATTCCAGGTTTAACAGTGCTGGATAAATAAAAAGCAGGAGTGGCTTGCAATGCCTAAGGTTCACAGTAGAAAGGATACATTGTGCTTCTGCTTGGAATATCGTTTCATCGGGTTGGTTGGCATGTTGCATTGCAATGGCATGTGGGAATTCTGTTAGCATGCGCTGCTGGAAAGCCTCCAATCTCTCGTAGTCATGGCCTCGACAAACAAACTCTTTGTTCTGGTCATGAGATACATTTTTAGTGTTTAAACATGAATATCAACTACACTGCCTGCTATGAATGAAAATAAAGCAGTTATGTATACAGTAATTCATTCTACATCATTATTCCATGGACTAAAATTCAATCGGGTTCATTATTTTTTTTAATCATGCAGACATTAGGTATGGGTGTATGATACAGAGCATAAACATATACCTATCAGATATAAAAAGCAGGTCAAGTGAGGCAGAGTCTTCATTCATTTTAAATTAAAGTGAACCACCTCTTGCTTCCTATACCCACCAAAATTGAAGCATAGGCCAATAGTTGACAGCATACACTGTGAACACAAATTTTCTAATGCAGGCTCAGTAACTGCACTCCAGCACCGCCAAGAGCCCTGCCAAACCCCTTACCCAGAGCAGCAATAATGCTGTATTCAGGTACTGGGCATTGTATAGTGGGATGGTAGCAGGGGCCTTGTTTCCACTACATGGAAGAGGAACTGCAGTGAGCTCCAAGTGGTGCCCGGTCACAGAGTCAGAGACAGAAGGCACATGCTGACAGCTTATGCTGTCAGCTACGTGCCTGCCCTGTTACAGTTATAGGTTTAGGCAACACAGTTTTGCTTTAAGGCTCAGCTGATGTCATTACTTCCTACTCTCCCCTTTACTGCCTGCTTGATTGAGTAAATCAGATACAACTCTAGACCTTAGGACTGCTTAATGTAAATTAAGGTAATTATTAACTACAGGTCCTCTTAAGAGGATGTTTACTAGATTAGTTAAAGAAGAACTCCGGGCAAAACTTTTATCAACCCTTGCAGTGGAGCTACCTCCGCACTGCTTGTTTTGTCTAGGTGCTTAAAAAAAAAAAGAAGTTCTACTCACCTGAACCATAACCTGTTAGGTCCTTAAAACCAGTTGGCCATTTGAAATAAGCCTTGGTTTTCCAATATGATATAATATTACTAACTCACCCCGACAATTTCCAGTAAAATTACACCTAGACCCAAAACCATAACTCGGTCTAAATCTCCAATATTGGAAAAGTGTAAATTTGGTCTCAATATTTCATATAAATCTCCTGAATCCTTTTATACACGGGGTAATGTTTGGCCAGATGCCTGAAGTTATTCCTGTCAGGTGCCATTAGTCCCCACCTTCACCACCCGCACCCAATCAGATGGCAAAGAGTGCATAATTTTCTCTGCATTCTTTCTTGCTCTTTCCTCTGATATTAATAATTATGAATAAAGGTTCACATACTGTTGGTGCTGCTGGTTGAAGTAAAAGAAGCACGATGGTAATATTAGAGGGAAGTAGAGCAGGGGAATTATTATTTTTAAATTATATAACATAAGGAGCTAGTGACACTTTCTTTGTGGCTAGTATATACAGTTTTAAGAAAAAAAATGTGAACATGTGAAAAGGTAGCGCTGTACACCTTCAGCCTTTAAGGATCACCAACAAGTTATGTTTTTTAGTATTTCAGGAAGAAGCAAAGTAGTGTCCATTGATCAGTTTAAAAGTAGCATACAAATATTTAACTTGGACAAATTTCCATAGAGCAAACATAGGCCATGCCATGGGGCAGAAGGGCTACTAGGAGCAGCACACAGATACTCACACATGTTGTTGACTGGCCAGGTACACACTGCCACATCTAATAAACATTTCCAGACTATCTGTGCAATCTTAGATTGAACTATTGGGAGGAGTACACTTTCCTCTCCTAAGGCCTCATTCACATGACTAACAGCCGGCCTGTACAGATCCGTGATGCGTGCACGGCCGTATCGGGCCACTCCTGGGAAGGACAGGTGCTGCGTGTGATTTGTATGCAGCAGCCTGTTCTTCTCTATGAGAGTATGCGACCGTACGCTCACCCGAACTGCACGTCCGTGCGGGTGTCCCTGCTCAGACACAGACAGGATCCATCCTGTCTGCGTACGAGTACGGACACCCGCACCGACGTGCATTTCGGGTGAGCGTATGGCAGCTGGTTGTTAGTGGTGTGAATGAGGCCTTACAGTTCTTATTTAACGTAAATGTAATTTTATCATCTTTAATTATTACTAAGCCAGATATTTAGCAAAGAGCATACATATAACAAAACAGATATGTTTAAAAAAATGCTACTTACTCTCAAGAAAAATGGGAATTTTTTCCCATAAAATCCAACACGGAAAAACTCTGGCTCCAGTCGCTGCTGGTCCATTATTTTATCATACAAAGATGCTTCCATCATCTGGTAAAAAATAGAATGTTGAGGGATTTCATAAAGGACATAAAATGGTCCACACAACTATGAAAATGCACATTTTACATGCTCTATGATGTTAGACAGCACTTCAGAACTTTGATGCCTACAATACCTTTTTATCTCACAGTGCACAAATATGCATGCTTGCCAATACGCAATAAGCATGAATGTGCTGATCTTTGTGCTAACCAGCTATAACTTATCTGACATGCGCTACAATGGCGGCAAGTCAAATTTATCTGCTTCTGCTGTGGTTAGGGATTACCTGCTTATTGTTTAAGCCTGTCAAAGTTGTCATTAAAAGGTGATAGGCATTTCATGTTTGCATGACTATTGTTTTTCTCTAAAGAAAATTAAGCTACGTATAGACACTGATTGAGTACCCCCTAAAATAGGAATTAAAATGACAGAGTGACTCCTAAATGTGTTGCCCAAAATTCAAATACGCCTGAATGGTCCATCCATTCACCTCAGACTCACAATTTATACAGGGATTCTCTGGATTTACAAACTTGTCTGGATCAATTCTATCCTCACGTATTAAAAATGAATCCCTTAATAATGCAAATCAACCATACCAAAATACCAGAATTAGTGAGCTATACTTAGCAGGTTGAATTATGTTAGCTGGCTAGTTTCAGATGAAAGATTCCTCCCTATTGTTTTGCTACATGGTGCTGGGAACCGAGTTCATCCATGAATTTCTCATTATTAAACCCCCAAGTCCCTTAAGTTATTCTAAAGTATGCTGTTATTATATAATAGTAACTATTGTTGTTACTTTACCCTCATTTTGCTGAGATTCCTGTAGTCATAGTAGTTTTCATACTGCTCAGCAAGTTTCCTGCAGAGTATTATTCCATTCTCCCAGCACTGTGCATAGATATAAAAAGAAACAAGGTCCATAAAATTTGTAATCAATGTGTGAATGCTGCAGACATACCATTTGGTATATGTTCTGTATCTCATAAAAGCTACAATGTCTTCAAAGATATAAACCCTCGAGTATTGCTCACAAATGAAGTTTTCAATACAGTATATATAAAATGTAAAAGTAGTATTGAGAGAAATATACCACGCATACCACAAACTTAAAACAGTGGCTACTTTCTGAAAAACAATGGGATCAGAATTTCTCACAAAACAAAATGCCTGTTGTTAAAAGAAACCTTTCCTTAAGAAAAACCTGGAGGTTGCCATTCTTGAATTCTCATTTGGCAACCTTGGAGTCACTAATCAAGGACAAGCATGCAGATAAGGACTTTTACTCTGGCTTTCCTGCTATGTATTATTGTTTCTGGTTAGTGACAAAGTATTGAAGCCATTGAGTCAGCATACCAGCCAGTCAACTAACATCTTCAGGAGGCCTTAGATTTACTTTAAGGTGAATACATATAGTTAACACAGAATATTAATAATTAATATTCTCTTATACTAACTATTGTCAGTTTCGGATCCATAAACATACATACAGATATACCGTTTGAATCAAATGCACTGCCTCAACTAATGCACATAGGTCTCTGCAGAAAAAAAGACCATCAAGAAAGTACATTGGTGTGAATGGCTATGATACATGGCAGGACAAGAATTTGGGTAGCTGCTCTATGCCTAGAACATCATTCTTTTACATTATACATATGGGGCCAGTGCAAGAATGGTTGTTTCACCTTCGGTTAGTAGGAATTTCAGTGGTTACTTCTACCTCATTATAAAAAACAATGCGAAGGAGGCACAATAAAAAGCAGCAATGTCAGAGTGGGTAAAAAACAAGCGTAAATATTGAAGTTGGAGGAAAACCTGAGCTGACCACACACTTGCGGATTGGCCTTACCCGACATCTGCAATCTGTAACAGATTTGACCATACTTGGTAGTGGCCAAATCTGATGAGGATGGCAATTAGCTGACAAACAGATGTCTTGCTTTTGACAGTTGTGCTAAATGATTAAACACGATTACTTAGCCAAGCCCTAATTAAACATGATCAAATCCATAACTAAATTGTATTACTTACTCCCTCTTTAGTTACCCAAATAATGGCCTATAGCTGCCATGATTTTCCATCAGCACCTGTGGCTTTGACATTATTACAACTAATGTGTTTTAAGAATGAAGTTGTGATTAACAAATTCTAACATAGAGAAATCATGTATAGAAAAAAAGCAAACATAATTGTCCATGCCATCATTTTCCTAAATTGTGAGAACATAGTTGACACAAAATTTCTTGCATAAGGTATAACAAATCCAAACACAAGATATTAGCTGCCTTACTTTCCCTCTGTCAAAATTCTGGATGATGGTCATGTGTAAGTACTCTTTTCTTTGCCATTCTGTTTGCATTGGATAGTTAAGAAACTCTCTAAGTGGCCGATCAGACCATTCCAGTAACTCATCATACAATAGAAGGGTGTAGGCAGCCTCTGTAAAGTACATAAATCTACAATTAAACAGTGGACTTCTAAAAGGAAATACATTAAATATTTTCATTAACACATGGCACCAGACTACATATATGTGAGTGGGGCCAGTGAACACAGAAACCCAAGAGGCTGACAGTCTAATGATTGTATCAAAGTCACAAACATATGCACACAGTATTGCCAGTATGGACGAAAGCCAATTAACCTACTATTCAATTTTTAGGCCGTGGAGTTAAATCAGAACTCCCAGCAAAAACTATAAACAGGGAGCACATGCAAGCTCTATGCAGGTAGTATCCTTGCTAGGACACAAACTGGGGACCTCTGGTCCTGGGCAAATATTTAAAGAGGAACTTTACCCATATTATCAAAATAACACTAAAGGCACATTTAGAAATGTTTAGTAATGACAATCTACAAACACATACTTTTAGATAATTGCCAGATTTGTATTCTTTGCATACTTTATTTCTTTTTACTCAGTGCTGCTCCCATTTAACTGTGTGAATGGTGCCTAACTTCAAGATACATTACCACTTTTACAAATTGTACAGATATTGGAGATACATAAGTCTCAACACTGTTTTGATTATAAGTCACTAGAAACAAAATTCCCCATGTCCTAAATAGTGTATAGCTAATACTACCTTATAGGTGGTAGCCTGATATTTACTGATTAATGGTTGTTAAATGGAAGACCATTTTGGAAGTTTGAATATTTATACAAAAATAATTTAGATGAGTATGGTTAGCTTAACTTTCCACTGTTCAGAGTAGTAACTTTTCAGCATTCCTCATCCTGAAAGGCATATAAAGAACAAGGCCATACATCCACTTATCAGATCTGCAAAGCTTACAAATTAATTTCAGGCTAGGCAATACACTACCTTCAAGGTATACACTTCATCAAAGCAATAATAGGCATTTATGAACACAAATCAGAACCCTTCAACACTAAACTCCTTGTATATGTGATCATCTCACATTAGACTGACTGTTCAATAAACAAGGAGATTGAGACTTTTAGGACAACTCAAATGAAACCTTTATATATTTAACATTTATGTCCCTAACATCATGAAGAGGTATGAGGTGCATGTTTTACCTGTGTAATTCTGTGCTTTCATGTGCAGGTCATACAGTTTGTGAATATATCGTATATACATCTCTTCTTTGTTCAACTCCGTTTTATAAAAATTCTGTAAAGAAACAGCTTTCATTAAGTTATACACCTAGGCATATAAATTACAATACCATTGGCAGTAGGTGAAATTTTTGACTGACTGGTGAGACACCGCCAAATTTTTCAAGCCCTGACCATTGGTGATATCTTTTTAACAAATGCAATAGCATTAAGTGCTTTTTTTTTTTAATTGACATCTCCACAATGTTTGGCAACATTGTTCTCACAAAAATAAAATAAAAAAATAGAGACCAGTTCTTTTATGTGATCATCCTCTTAAAGAGATAGGCAGCATCTTAAAACAATATGCATCCTGACAGTAAGGAACACTGTGCTATAGACCTGTCATAAAATATCTCTTAATAAAAAAGCTCTGGTACAACCTTCTCTACATTCTTTAAAATACAATGCATGTGCCTAAACAGCCAATCCAAAGACGCACGTATTGCACTTTAGGACGCTTGCGAAGGGGCAGTGTTCTAGTGCTCTAGCAGATTTTATTATTGAAACTGTTATACTCAAGATTCTCAGGCTTTGGCTCTGTTACATAGCACATAAGATGTACTCGCATATTAAAAGTCAGATGGGACCATTGATCTACCAAAATTCTCTTAAAAACACAAAATTTACATTTTTTATCCTTAAACTGTCAATATCGTACTGCCTCATAGGACTACAACAACCTTGCTAGTGAGGAATGCAGCTCTATAGCACTTAGAGAAAATCCTTTGTTCACTTAACATTCTGTAATAAACACACACAAGTTTTGCTAGTGAACTGCATTGGAAACATTTGGCTGTACTTGAAATTGTGCAACAATGACAATACAGTACAGTATAGCAAAAGTGCCTAGCTTATTTCACTGCATGAAGCAGCTATGGTAGAAATTCATTTATAAACATATTCAGATTAAAACATTGCTCATTGTATGAACCAGAGGAAACAAACATATTTGCTGTGTTAAAAATGAACAGTTTTGTAATTATCCGAAGTGTTCTTTTAGTAATAACATGCTGACGTAAGCATTTAAAAGGACGCCAAGGTCTTATGGTAAATGTTTCTTGACAGCTATATATAAAACAAGCCTCAATCAGCTGTCAAGTTATAATGTTGCCAACACAACTGCTGCAAGTGCATCTCATGATTCTAGACAAGCTCACATGTTAACTTTTTAGCAGATTTGAGAATGTAGCAGAATACTCTGCATAGTAAGAACCTTCAGCTTTCAATTTTCTGTTGACAAGTAATTACCTGGGCTACAATGACAATCTAGACAGGCTTGAGCTATTCCCTTACCTGAAAGAAACACTAATTTTGCATCATTATTGCTTAAATAGATTTGTACTGCAGCCATTGCGTTTATTTTAATGAGGAACAAAACAGCATTTTAGGAATTAAATGAGAAACATTTTCATTATCACATCATTGCTGCAAACTAGTGACCAATTTAAAGTATGTAACCTACCAATAGACTAACAGTGCACCCAATCTTCTTCCCATCCACTTCCCCAATCTTCATGCAGTCCCTGAAAATGCAAAAGCAGATGATTATTCTTCACAGCAAAATTTAGGGGAATACCATGATTTTGCACACTGACTTATGCTAACTTGTGTGTCATTCCTAAAATACAAAATGCTTACTATTAAAAAGGAAGACATTTATTTTGATAAGGTTATGTATCCCAGCGATTAGTATGTCTGTAAATGGAAATATAACCTTCTGACAATCCTAAGGCACTATATTTCAAAGATAAACCATGCAATTTCACCTTTAGGAAATGTTTACTAAAAATAGCAAAGAACACAGCATCACCTGCTTTCACTAAAACATCCCCTACCTATTCTATTAATAGAAGGTTGCATATGCATTCAATCACTGTTAAATCTGCAGGACTGCTAAAATAAGCAAAACTTTTACCTACAAATAATGAAGTGACTACAACTGGAAATGTGTTAAAAAAAAGAAAGTGTGTGTGTATATATACACACATATATGCATGATATTTCATTTAATCATTACTATGTACAAATAAACAAAGATTTTTTTTATCAACTATCCACCCACTTTAAAGTATATTCTACAGGCAGTCTATATGCAGGACATTTTGTCCTTGTATTGTATAGTCATCAAGAATTCAAAGCAATGAATCCCATAAATGTGGTCTGTGATTTTTCAGTTTTCTTTTTTGTTGCTTTCCTTTGTTAATAAGGAATGTTGTAAAAGTTGTTGCTGGTGTGGCAGGTATTTGTAAATGTGATCTTTCTGAAAAATTGTATATGGCATTTACAGTAGGGCTTTCAGAGTCCCTAAGTTGGTGTTTCTCTACTATTTTTCAGTCACAACACCTTTTAGAAGTATGCAAAATCTCAAGGCACCCCAGTCTAAACCAAATGTAAAATATATAAAATGGCAAAAAAAACAAATTCTGCTTTTCTGTTTAACAATGATTCCAAGCACATCACAGAATACTAGAATGTTTCTTTCTCTTTACATCTGTTTGCCAGCACTAATTATGATTTTCTTGTGAGACTCACCTGTAGTCCAGCAGTCTCTCCATGAGTCGTGTTACAGTGGCAATTAATGATACACCACTTTCTCTCCATGTTTCCCGCTCAATTTTCTTTAATAAGCTGAAATATAAAACATAATAGAAGCATTAGTCGGCACATGTGTACAGTATATACTATACAAGTTTATCTTATTATTAGGGGGCATATTTATAAAGCCGTAAATGTGACATTTACTAAACATTCACTGGTGGGGAATCAATTACCATCATTTAAAACAGACCAGAAAGATTCTCCTGCAGTGAATGTTTGGTAAATGTCAGATTCTGACTAACCGTAAAGGACCTCATGAATGAAAGTGTCAGACAGGTAGTGTTTGAATAACAATGCAATTACTAATGATAGTGAAATGTCCAGTAGGCATATGTGCAATAATTCTAAACCACAGCTCTACAATACACATAGTGTGTGATCTGTTGTATCTTTCTTAAACACAGCTCTTCCTGGTGATGAGTACACACACAGAATATGTGCACTATGGTCTACGGATGTGGTCAAGTACAAAATGAAGAGATGATCATATACCTAAGGATGGCCAGGGCGTGTCTTTCTCAGTGGGTGAGAAAGACACCCACTGCAGATCACAATGATAAATAATTATTTTACAAATGTGACTGTAAAAAGTGACATTAACTGTCTGTGTAAGCCTCTGTTATGAAGAATCTAGATGTGTGTCAAAGCTGAACTCCAAGAATATGCCAAAACTACCCTTGTAGTGGCCCCCCTCTTCATGCACAGCAGGGTAAATGCTTATTTTTGCCTAAGTTACCACCTCTCTTCTGAAGACTCTGCTATTCTACGCTCCGTTGGTCGCAGGCACTATGATGTCATGTACAATCCAGGGCCAGCGGCTCTGCATTGTAAGTGAGGACGCTAAGAGCTCACCCACAACCCAGAGTGTCAGAGGAAAGAGGAGAGTGCTAGCTGCCGGGGAAGCAAGGAATAAGGTAAGCAAAACTGCATTTTAATGGTATCCTAGAAAAAAAGCATTTAATTTTAAAATTTCCCTGGAGTTCAGCTTTAAGGAAAATGCAAAGAAGATAACCTGTTGGATGAAAACTCAAAGTAAGAGCATATGAGCAACTCTCAACATACATGAAACTCCATTCACAAAGTCAACACAGAAGGATAAGTAACCTTGTTTTCAAAAAAGTGACAGTCATTTTGGGTTCAGTCCAATGAAATTTAAAAAAGTGTCACATGGCTAACAGAGTGATTTAGGCTGGTGTGATGGCTTTGTGAATCGAGCCTGCTGTGAACTCACTAGAAAGAGCTGCTGGCATTTACTTTTGCTGTAGAATGATCTTACCTAGGATAAGGCCCAAATAGAGGAATTCTAATCCAGGAAGCATTGATAAAAAATAATGTTCTGATTATCCACACAACAAATAAATATATAAAGCAAGTATGAAAGTATTGGATTTAAAATAAGTTGTAAAACTCCAAACAAAACTTTTTTATTTTTTTATTTGGATAAAGCAAAACAGGGGTCAGAATTTCTGTCAGGTTTAACATTCTAAGGAAATGGTGAGAAGTTTTTCCAGACAGAGTGTAACTTCTCTTTAGAGAAGAAGTTACTCGTTTCTGTTCTACCTGACATGTGTCACCTTGACAGGAAGAAAGTGAAAATCTCCATCTAAAAGGACACAGTTTTTAAACCTTCCTTACTATACTAAATTGTTTCTACTGCTGCAATGTCCACATAAGGGGGGGTTTCCCTTACTTCCTGCTTTTTCTGACATCCATCAGACAGAGATTTTTACTTCCTGCACAGGAAAATGAGGAGGGATTTCCAAAATAGGGTCACAGACATCAATAAAAAAAAAAAAAGTTGAGTAGTTCTAATCCTTTCACACTCATTCCAAAAGTAAATTAATTAAACATGCAATAAAAAGGCTTGCCTTCATGAAAGGGAACAAATAAAAAGGCAATCATAGAACTATAGATTACCAATTTGAAATGTTGCTACGAAATCATCTCAGCAATTGTGCTGCTGTACAGTAGAGGGGTATTCCTATTACCCCTAGTGGCAGGCACCCATAACAGTCTGTAGGCTACTCTCCAGGATAAGCAAATATAGTCGAAATACAAGAGGCATGTCTAATTCCTACTTGGATCTTGGTGTCCTTTGTGCATTTCTTCCAGGCATGTGCAGTAACCCGGCATGAAACTTTCCCTGCGTGTATAAATGTCTTGTTTTAAAGACCAGTCACTGCTGTTCTATCTCCTTGTAGAGGGTCACTGGTCTTGCATCCGCCCCCTCCCTGTAGTTTTAAAAAGATGGACTGTAGTGGGTGGCGCTTGCAGAGTCCCTCGCACAGCTCTGCTACGTGCACAGGATATGTGCAACACAGTGATGATATCGCTGCTACTATTATATGGCAATAACTGGTCTGCAAATGCATTTGGTGCAAACAAAGTGGATTTACATACTTTTTGGCTACTGTGCCTGAAGTTCAGATTTTAAGAATAATAAATTGTCGAAAAATGCTGATATTTATTGCTGATTGACCTTAACCCCTTCGTGACTGACGACGTACAGTGTACGTCGCCAGCATCGGGGCTGTTTAAACAGACTCCCGGTGACTTTTGCCCCCGGAGTGATCAGCTGTGGCAAGAGCCTGTGCTATCCTGGGCCACACAGTAGCATGACTACAGAATTACCTATGTCAAAAATGTAATGTTCCTTTTTTATAAAAGTTGTGACATAAAATTCACATGGCTCACTCTCCGAGCAAACCGGCATGGCCTTAATATTGGTTGTATACATGGGATCAAAACATTTTCCTCTATGATTTTAGAAAAGTAAAACCAATAAATAAGCAATATTCTTTCTGAATCTGAGCTAGGTACAGTGCTGCAGAAAACTTCAAACATGCGACATTACAATATATTATATTTAGAGCAGTGGAGAAGGCACCGGTGAGATTACAGGATCCGATGACCTGATTTGTCCTGAGAAATAATTTGTATATTTTCAGAAGCACAACTTTTTAAGATTTGATGTATTAGATAAAGGGGCAGCTATTTATCTTTAGCCGCATTGTGGTGAACAATTGTAATGCGATCAATACGACCCAATCGGTAATGCTGCTTTTGTATTTAGTATGTTGATTGGTTGCAGATATACTACACACAATGGCACCGCACAATGCCTTCCGGCAGTTAGTTGAACTTGTGACACAATGTCACACTGCACTGGCTTTTACACAAAGCAATTACTAAGATTAAAAAAACAAAAACATTTGTATTTAGAAGATATATTTGTTCAGGACGCCAAAACATCCATGTGCATCCTGAGGTCCATACATCAAAACTAAAACTAAAATCAGTTATTTAGGTATCAGGTATTTAAAGCTGAAGTTTAGTTTGTTGTTTTTTTGGGAGGGAGGGATACAGCATCAAACACATTAGATAAGTGAAACGGTGTGTATCCCTTATTCTAAAAATCTTCTCCTCACTGACCCCCTCACAGCGGCCAGATATTACACTCAGCAGCACTGTAAAAGGCTGCAATGAGAGAAGTCTGTGAGCAGCGCCTCTGAATAGTAGTGCCACTAGCCTGCCCACCTCAGCTCTCTTCACCATTCACAGAGCTTGTATTACTAATATCCAACAATGCATTGAGTACTGGAGGAGCAGATGAATGACAGAATCTCCTCATCTGTTTGCAAAAATGCATTCTGGGACAATAGAAAGATAAGCTCTGCTGAATGGCAGAGAGTTGTTGCTAAATACCTAGTGATCCTGCCAGTTCCCCTTGGCTCCTCTTTCAATCTGATCACGCAAAGCACAGAAGCAAATTTGTGGTTGGCGTGGTCAGTTTGGATTCCAGGGATTGAGGCTGGGGGTTACAGGATGCGGTGGCCACACACGGGGTGCCTGTAAATCCTGCTGTCAGTTTGAACCCTTCTGCTGCCAAGATATTTTTGCAAATTTTAGACCTGACAAGTTCCTTAATGCAGAGACCGTGTAGAATAAAATGGCGGCAGTTGCAAATTTTTACATCACATATTAGCGCAGCTCTTCATGAAAATTTTACATTTCAGAAACAATTACACCTGATTTTAATGCACAAAAGCACAATATAATACCTGTTTTTTTTTAAATATATAAAAGATGAGGTTATGCGAAGTAAATAGGTACCTGATATGCCAAGCTTGAAAATTGCCTGCACCCGTGAAACTGCACCCCAAATTTCCATAGGCAATTCATTAAAAGCCTATACAGGTCATCAGTTTAGAGTTAGCAATAATTCTAGGGACAATATTAATAGTTGTCACTGGTGCAGGCAGAATTACCTAATATTTGTAGCGCGATTGTAATTTTCATATGTAGGCGCACCCAATGCGTGTTTACGCAACTTATGCTAATGTGTGTGTTCGCGGGGGCAGGGGACTTTAAAAATGTTTTCATATTTTTACATTTATTTCATTTATTTTTTTTTAACTTTTTGTTACTTCATTGCTATCACATAGGGGTCTCACAAGCCCCTGGTAACAGGTTCTCTTTAAAGTAACATTAGGGGTCTATTAGACCACTAGTGGGGGAATGACAGCTGAGGAACCGAAACTGATGCAATCAGCATCGCTTCCTGCTCCATTTAGCATCTACCTGCCGAAAGGGGCAGGCAGAGCCCAGGAAGCAAAGCAGGGGTGTCAGGCGAGGGGGGGGGGGGGGAGAATTGCTTGACCATCGGCTTTACACATCTAAACAGTATCCCGTAGCAGTCTGATTAAAGGGGCCCACTGCCAGCGATGTATGGCATATTTCATTGGCAGTAAAAGGGTTAAAGCCACACCCCACGACCTGCTGTTGACCTGGATATAGTGCCCCCCTTCTCCCCTCATCAGATTAGCTTGTCCCATCCTCCTTGTCCAGGTCTGCCATGTTAACAAATGGAGTCTCCCAGCTGGAGCCTCACTGTGAATACTATACTGCAGCTGGTGGTAGCTATGTGAATGCAGTGCCTGTCAGCCTAATTGACTGCCCTCTGCAGTAACACTTCCTGTGTTAGTGTACTAATGAACTATGGGCACTTCTAGGCCATACCTAAAGTGACA